ATTCATTATTTATTTATTTATTCATGTTATTCATTTATTCATTATATTTTCTATATTATTCATCACCGTCGTTGCTGTCGAAGCGTTCGTTGGTCAGTAAAATAGCATCGTTTAGATAATGGTATATAACAATCAGAGCTATAATCAGAATTTGAAGCAGTAGCAGCTGCAAGCAAAGGTCATATGAGCAATAAAATATTTATGCTATAGCTAATTTCCATATTTACCAGAATAAAATTGGCCAAATTAAAGGGCCAAAAGGACAAGAATCTGAAGCGAAAGGAATTGTGAAGAATATCGCGCATATTCTTGACAGTGCGACGCATGGACTTGGCCACGGCAGTGCTCTGAGCCAGTCTTTCGCTGAGACACGTCCAGAAACGAAGGCGCTAAAAGTAAATATATATATATATTTAGATTAGATACTATGGGCATCAGTCCAATACACACCTGTTGCTCCAGCAGCGTTTGGGCCAGCAGCAAGCAGGCATAGTCGCAGCCAATGCAGGCGTAGATGCAGGCATTGCCCGCATAGAAGACGCGCTGCTGGCGATCGTTGAAGAGGATGTGCCAGGTGCTGCTGTAGTAGACGTAGCTGTAGATGCCAAAGAGCAGGCAATGACCATTGAAGCCCAGGAGCAGCAGCAGCGAGTGCTGCATGCACTCGAAGAAGTCGCTGAAGTGCTTGGCCAGCAGCTGCAGCTGCTCGCACTGGCTCAGCAGATTGTCCACATGGGTGGGCGCTGCGGCTGGATCTGGGGCACTGCTGCCACCGACCACCAGCTGCAGCTCGGTGCGCACCTGGCTCAGGGACAGCAGCTCATCGACATCTGTTTGCAGCTGAGTCAAGCGCTCACGCGTTAGCCAGGCGAAGATGTTGTAGAAGCGCAGGGCGCCAGCGAGCACCAGATGGGGGAGGAAGAGCGCGGTTCCTATCATAATGTCCTTGAGGGGCGGCAGCTTGAAGTCCATTTCGTAGCCAATGTACAGGCCAAAGCTGAGCAGCACGACGAACGTGGAGCCGAGCAGGGCATAGGCAATCAGTTCCTTCACAACACAGCGACGGCCGGGGGCGTTCGTCATGGGCAACGACACGGTCAACTCGTTGGCCACGCCCACGGCACGCACAGAGGCGAAGACGGCGTAGCTAAACACCTTGACGCTGAGCAGCAGCTGCAGGCGCGTCAATCCGGACAGAAACGGGGAGACATCGAGCAACGTCTTCAGCATCGCGGAGTTCTGAAAATGCTGAGCGAAGCAGGCGGCATAGATGCAGGCCAGCACGAAGACATTGACCGCACCTGGGAGCGATATGCGATACCGCTGCTGCTTGGAGTCGAACCAGTGCATCTGGTAGCCCGTGAGCAGGAGTAGCACATTGGCGGATCGCAGCACGCGCAGATTATTCATGCTAGGGCAGCTCAGTGTAACCGAACCGGAGCAGAGCGAACTTTTGACTGACTTCGGTGTGGCTCATGACACAATTTCAGGTCTTATCTCTGCAGCCAACTGTGACAAATATCCCAAAATATTCAAATACAACAATGGAACCCAAGTCAAGCGTCAAGCGTCAAGCGTCGCTCAAGCTCAATCATTATGAGCTTGTCTATGGATTGCTGCGGTGGGTATCTATTTTGGAGTGTTTACAAGTATGCATGTGTGTATATTTATAAATACGAAATATCATCATGATCAGGCATTTAAAACGTACTGGGAGAAATTATATTTTCAATACTAAAGCTTTTTACAAAGTCTGTGAAAATGTTATTCTAATTAGCATGCCTGAATAGGCATACAAATATTTAACTAGCTGATGGCTATAACTTTGCTTGCTTTCACTCTATATTTTTGTCAGTTTAATTTTATACTATTTATCAAGCCTCATTCCAAATATAAAATAGCATAAGTTTTGCTTTTGTTTTATAAGACATTAACTAGCAAAAAGAGACGTGGAATCTATCAAAATTAATCGGAAGCTGAGTTTGAAATATGATATGGAGCAATCGCTGATATATATAATAATAATGGTAAAATAATTGAGAAATTTTCGTAGAAGAAAAAATCAAGCCTACGAATAATATTTTGTAAGAATTCAACTATTCAATATAATTGATCTATGAA